TTAATATCTTAAATGCCTAGGCAATGGAGTCTGCACCTTCTCTTTTTAAAATGATTGTAAATGGTACACAGTACCTGTGACTTTGCATCCATCTCTACATCCACAAATCCAGGGTTGTTTTCTCCAGATTCTTGAGCAATTTTCTGTTGCCAAAAACAAGAGGAAAATGTATATCACAATGATCACAAAGCTCTTTCTTCATATGACATTTTAAGAAACATAGAAATAATTTCAAAAAGTGGTATGGCAGAAGGAAAAATGACAAAAGTTATGACATAATTGTATTGGAAAGATGTTATGTTGGTGCCGTGCCATGCCATGGTAGCTTATTGAACACGCCATAGTTAAAACAAATGGTTTTTTAATGGTTTAATGCCAAAAGCTGGAAGAAGACTTTGTTTTTCTGCACCTAAACTGGATGTAGAATTGATAGGGATATTGATTTTGGTTAAACAGGACTGTTAGGTTTTCTGTTCTGTGTTAACAAAACAGAGAGTTGCAATCTTGTAGTACTCTGAGCAAAAGTGTTTTTAATATCATGTATCAAAATGCAGTGATACAGCAAAACAATCCAGCCAGCCATCATCTCCAGCTCTATGCATGTCTAGTTGTGAATAATGGGAATACAATATATGAGGACTCCAGTTTGGTGAAGGTTAGCCTGATCCCCTTTTTGATTATCTGTAGATAAACCAAATCCAAGTATCTTCGTGGAGAATATTCTGTTTGAAATTTAGAAGAAGAAAAAGATGCTAGTCAGAAAGCATACCTTGGCTTCTTTCTTGTCTTTCTTTTGTTTCTTCTTTAGAGCTTTCTTCTTCTTTTCAATGAGATGGTTCACATCAATGCCACACTATAAAAGAGAGACTACTTACATCCCAGGAACTAATGGACAACTGCCAATTTTCTGGTGCATGATAGGATAAGGTCAAAAAGTCAAGGTGGCAGATGCAATGGTGTGGTTGAAGCTCTGCCTGTTTTGATGTGCCTTGCACACACAATGCACATCAAAAACAGGCAGAACTTTGATTGTACTGTCACACTCACCATCTTGACTTTTTTTTATCTTACCCTGTAGACATTCCTGAAAGATACCAAGAGCCGTTTCACTCATTTTCACTTCACTGTGCTTCTTACCACTCAGAAGCTTTGGATGGGGGGCACATGAGAAGATCCCATCCAAAGTATAATTTAATATTTGAAATAATGAGATTGATTGATATCTGGTAAGAAAACTTTCACTAAAATACAATCACAAGAGTTATTTTGCACTTTCCACTCACACTCCTGTTTACTGAGCTACTGGCTTCAATGGGTATAAAACAACGATGGAAAAAATATTGACATGAAGTACAAAAAGAAAGTAGGTGGGTAAGAGACTTGCATTAACAGATTATTTATTTTTACTAATTGTTTATTTACTCAGTGTTCACTGATTTTTTTACTTCAGAGTCCCAAACTGATAGCCTTTTTGGAGAGAGAAAGCTATCCATGTCAGGTAGCCTCATGATTAGATTATGCCATTGTAAGCGTTTGCTTTTAGGACAGCCTAGAACAGTGATGGTGAACCTACGACACATGTGTCAAAGGTGACACACCATGATGTTTTGGGTGACATGCCAGCGTTCACCAACACCCACCAACAACTATTCTCCCTGTTTGAGTTACCAGAGAAACTGAGTATTTTACCTGTAATTCATTTTTGTAATTATTTGACGTTTTTCCATAGCACCACACATGATTGGATTGTATTTTTCAAAAATAAATGAATATGTTTCTCTTTTGTTCAGAGGTGGGTGACATGCCAGCAGAGTCAAGTTAGGCATTTTCTGAATCTTTGACACACCGAGCCCAAAAGGTTCACCATCACTGGCCTAGAAACAGACTTTATTTCAAAACAGAACGGATGGGCTACTAACTGGCACCAGTCATTGATTAAGAAGACAGCTGGTCTGTGATAAAGATCTTTATTAGCTTCTGACCAATTTCTGGGAGCTGCTATTCACTTCTAAAGCCTTATACATAAGAGAAAACATTATGCCCACTTGTCCTCACATACAAAGTCCTTCCTCAGAGGCTGTCCTCTGGGTGCCTGGAAATGCAGCAGAAGTTTCTGGGGAATGGGAAGACAGTTTGTGGGGAGGACAGCTGTGCCTGTGAAACTCCCATTATCTCTCATGCATTAGACAAACACCATGTTGTTTCCCCCAGTTTTTGATGTCTCACACATTCCATCCATTCACCAGTATTATTTTATTTTTATTATCAGTTATGCACTACTTTGGAAATTCTAAATGAGAAGATGGCGCACCAATGTTTAAAATAAACAGTTTTCAAAGCAGGCATAGTAAACTCCAAATTTCATCAGAACAGCAAAATTGAGATAGCTGGGCAATTTAAGTTCCTATACATTTTTCCTAGTTTGAATCATCAATTCAAAGCATATTTTAGTCCAAGTGAGGAAATACACTTATATATCGCCCCTTGAAAAATTTATAGCAATTTTGATGTGCCTGAGTGTGGATTTAGATAATAAATGTGAGTTGACCCCTGCCCTGCCTTCGACACTGCTGCTCTAATTCAGAGCTTTTTGTCATTTCATAACAGCTTTATATTCAGCATAAAAATGCATGAAGGGAAGCATTTGATCATGTTGATTTTAGTCAGCTCTTTTTCCCTGACCAAGGATGAAGGTCAAGGGTTAATTAACTGTACCACAGGAGCACTTCCATGCAGAAGTTGAAAGAGTATCTGTCTCTTAATTCCTTCTAATGGAATACAGCCCAAAGCCATTTTATAGCCCATAGATTGGCGTGAGTGAGAAACCAAGTAAATAGTAAGAGCAAACTCTAAGCTTTCTCACCTTTTTTTTAAGGGCCTCTGCATACAGTTCAGCATTAGCAAAATAGATAGTAGCAGAGGAGTGGAAAATTTTCACACCTGGTATTTCTTTAACCTGAGGGGGAAAAAGGAACCCAAATGTTATGCAAACATGAGAAGAGGGTTAATATGTGGCTAATATAGACCAGAATAAATGGAGCTTGATCAGGAATTCCATCTGTTTGTTTTTTTAAAGAAAATACAATTCAGGAACATTAGGATATGTGTAAAATAGGATTTAAAGATGGTGGGAGTTGATAAGTCTACCCCAATCCAGTCATGGTGGTTCCAGTCCTGATCAGGCTATTATGGTTTAGAATATATTTATTATTTTCACACAATCAGAGAGAAAAGACTAGCAGGAGGCCAGCTTCCACAACAGAAGCAGAAATACTGGGCAAAATGGTTGCTCTTGATATAAGCACAGCAGCTTTACTGATTATTCTCAGTTGTTTTGCTGGGCAAATAATGTCCCAGGGATCACAGGCAGGCTGTGTCAGCTGTATTGTTTAAACCCAACACGATAACTATAATTCTTGGACAGAACAGGTTCCCCAGAGGAAGCACAAGCACAGTACTGAGTTTTGCCATCTGCGGGGACCCTCTAAGTGGTCCTTCTCAGTGGTGGCCCGTGTTTGTGGAAGAGCTTGCTCACCCCTATCTGGACTACTTCCTCCCTGCTGGATTTTCATAGAACTGTAAAAACCTGGCTATTGAATAAAACCTTCAGGAGATGTTACTTGGCCCTGCCCCTGTAGGTGTATCTTTATTAAAATACTGCTTTTGTTGCCTGTTTTTTTTAAAATTGTCTTTAATGCATTGTTTTGTAAGCTGCTCAGAGCCAGTCTGGAATGGAGTGGCATAGAAAGCTTAGCAATAAATAAATACCTTTCTCTATGCAGTTCCCCACAGCCACCTCCTTTAATCAGTTTCATGACACACTTACTTTATGATACTCAGCCATGTCTTTGTAAATTCCTGTGGTGGACACTTGTCCCAAAATGGAATAATGAGGCCTTAGTGAAGATGGTAAAAGAGAAAAGGGGTTAGCAAGGGCTCCAGTCAGCTCTTATAATAGGTCTTTCATGACATCTACCATCTGGAATTCTTCATGGAAAAAGAAGCTGCTTGGTCCATATAAATTATATGTTGAAATTTCTTTATTGGACTATGTAGTGATTATTTATGTAAATAATTAAAGATAGGATCTTCTTGTAGGTGAACATGCCAGCCAGTTATGATGACCCTTTTGAATGTTACCCATGACCTTAATAGATTGCAATGATGAAAAAAAAAAGATATAACACAATCCCTTGAGTATTTATACTCTGATTATGCAAAAAGAATGGCTTATTCCTTAGATCTGTTCAGTTAGCTCAGGGATTAGTTCAGTCTAAGCATATAGATGTGGTTAAATACCTAAATCCCAATAATTTGGTTCCGTATACAAGAACAAGTTGTTTTTTTGGTTCATTGTAATAGCAATGTTTTGATCTAATTATTTATGTACTGAAATTAGCAGTTACACCAATAGGGAGGTGGAACCTGTCTTCTATTAGATGCTGCTGAACTTCACCTCCCAGCACCTCCAGGTGGAATGGCCAATGGCGAGGGATCGGGGAGGGGTAATTCAGTAACTGTAAAGGACCACAGTTCCCCATGCTTATCTTTGGCTAATGTACTCTGATGAAAAGTATTTTTTTATTATTTGCACATTTCTGCCTCTCAGTTTCTTAATGTAATCTTATCTTTGAATAAACCACCCTGAGTCTTTTGAAACAGGGCAGGATATAAAAGTTATATACTGCCCTACTATGAAAGTATAGTAAAAGGCAATTCCCAAATCTATTTTCCCCCTCCTTTTTCTAGCTAGTGTAATACTCACATCTGAGTCCGGAAGATGACCGTGAAGAGTGAAAATGTCACAGCTACTGCCAGCCCCAAGTCAAGATTCAAGAGTAGCGTAGCGACAAAAGTTACAAGCCAGATGAGCTAGAGGCATGAGGATGAGAGAATAACAATGGTACTGGGATTGCCATTCAAATTTAGAAGAGGGAGACGTGCAGTAGCAGAGTTAACTTTCTGAGTTATTTCAGCAAATGTGAATTGGTGCAGAATGGCGCCCCATTGCAGCAGGCCAGCGGTCCTGCCTAACCTTGTTGAGTCATCCAGGAGGTAGGAAGGAGTTGATTTATACCAGGTGGGCTGCTGGGAGTGCAGGGGTGCCTTGTAATAGTCCTACAGGACATTATTATTGTTCTATTTTATATATCTTAGCTATGGAATACATAAATATGGTGAAAAATACAGCACATTGCAAAACATGCAGCATAAAAAAATAAGATGGAGCTAGAACCACTTCAGCAAAGATTTTAAAATGTCATGAGTTACCATTATATAGTATGATTTTTTTTTTAGCTAAGTTAATGTGGATATTTATATTTTTTACTGTTTTTGATGTTTGATTTTAATTGTGGGCCACCCAGAGTCACCCTCTAGGGAGATTGGTGGCATATAAATTTAATATATAAATAAAGAAATAAATTCTCCAGTTACCATCCTGGAAACTTCTCTGTAGAAGGCAATAGAACAGCGATGTGAAGCACTCAGTAGGTTCCTCAAAAATACAAATTACCTTGCAGTTAGATTACTGCAACAGCCTCTTCATGGGGCTTCCTCTGTTGGAAGCTTCAATTGGCACAAACTGTACCAGCCAATTTGCCAACCAAAGGGAATAGATCTAGCCATTTAACATCAATAATGCAGTTGCTGCATGGTTGCTGATTTACTCCCAGGACCAATTCAAAGGTCTTGTTATTAGTGTTAAAGCTCTACACAACTTGATTCTTGAAGCCCGTCTTGAACAGGACGGCTTCTCTTGACAAGACCTGCCTTGTACATTCTTGCTGAGAAAGCCTGCTGAGGGTTCCTGCCCCATATGAGGTGGGTGTGATGGGGGCCTGAAAAAGTACTTTTTCAGATATTACCCCCTGCTTTGGAATATCTTAATCACACTTGCCATCCTTTTTTCTTTATTTTTCATGTTTTAATTTCTTTGTCTGAATGTGGTGAGCCACCCAGAATTGTTGAGAGCTGGGCAGCATACATGTTTAATAAATCACCACCACCACCACCACCACCATCATCATCATCATCATCATCATCATCATCATCATCATCATCATCACCTTGCCTCCCAAGATATGGAATATCTCAAATCTCCTTGCCTTTAGGAAATTATGTGTAACAGCCTCGAATATATGGAAGTAGATGATCTATAATTTATGGATTAAATTAAGTAATTAAGTATCAATCAGGACACGAAGGCTCTTATATTTGAATGTCCTTTAATTATTATATGATTTTAATCTCCCCACAGAGAAAAAAAGCTAGGCTGTTTGGGAAACAAGTTCTGGCATAGCATTTTTCTAATGTGTGCTCAGACCTCTTTGTTCCAGGGTCTGCATTACCATTACAGGTAGGTGGCCTCCCAAACATTCTCCTCCACTGGAGGATGAAACTGGATGTTCCACATGGCATTTCTTGCTGTACCCTATGAACAGAGATCTTTCTCTTAGACATAGTGGAAGACATTATCTCCGTTAGCAATGTTGCGGGGGGGGGGGCAGATCAGTTTTTTGTTTGCTTGTTTCTCCATCTACTTGTTTCTGTCTATGGAAAAGAGGCATCATTAACCTAAGAAGCTAAATATTTAAACCGGAAGTTCTCCCCTTTTGATTTAGTAAATTTCATTAGAAATGTTGTTGAAAAATTAGCAGCTTTATTAGAATTTTTTCCCAGGTGTCCCTTACACAATACTGTTATTCTTTGCTGTTTCTGACTGCGTCATGTATCCCTGCTGAATGCATAATTTAGGTTAGCTTCTAGCACATAGCAGAACTTATGGCAATCCATCAGACTCTTCCTGCCCTCTGATTCCTCTTAAAGTCTTCTCCTACTTACCAGGTCGGTAAAATTAGATCTCCAAAGTGCAGGAATATCTTCAAACTGTTTGAACATGCCTTTCAAGTTGACAATCACAATGGCAGCTAAGACAGCCTAAAAGAAAGTGGCAGAGATACTATTTGAAAATATCTAGAGTAGGCAGTTTTAATTCATGTGATGGGTAAGAACAGAAGAACCTTCAATAAATATAGACCTTTTCTGGAATAATGTAAACCCCACAAAGAGATATGTTGATATTACCACCCGTATTTGGTAATTGATGTTTCTTTCAATATGTACTATACCTCAATGGTGTTTGTTAGTTTGTTTAAAAGAACAGCCTAATTTTACATACTTTGGGTAGTTCTCGGAAAAGCTCTCCAATCTTCAACATGATTGCTAGGATGATGAGAGAGGAGACAACTGTAGCCACCTGCAGAGTAGAAAACAGGAACAACTGTGTACAAAACAGGCTGCAGGAAGCAGGAAAATAATCCCAAATTTCACTTCCATATAGCTTCCAGAAAACTACATATATTTATCCACATAGTCACTGGGTGTCAGTTTCAATCCAAGACATATTTATCTTTACTATTTATTTTGCTTTGAGCTATATTTCCTATCACTCCCATATCCAATTGCCTGAGCAGGCTGGAGATAGTGGGGGTCATAGTCCAAAAAGATCTGGAAACATTAGGTGTAGAAAGCTGCCCCCTTTTGTGGTCAAGGTGGATACTGCTTTCTTCAGTCCTCAGTAAGTTATGTGTCTCATACATTCAGAGAAAATAGTGATGAAATAAAGATTTGAACTTCATGTTAGAGCCAGTAGTATATTCAAGGCAGTATTTGTGAGCAGACATTTATGACCCACTCAGCAGAACGACCAAAAGTACCCTCAATGTAAGTAGCTTATTATATTTCATAATATAAATAAAATTAACATCTAGGGAGAAACAAGCCCACCCTCAGCCTGCTGGAAGATTAATTGATGTAATGTCTAAAGCTAACTGCACTACTGTGCTAATCAGAATGACCTCATCTATCCCAGCATGCCTTTCAATTAGCTCCGACTGAGCTCTCTGCAAGCCCCTTCTGCTGCCCATCCATTTGATTGATTTCAACTTCTACATAATTATCTCCTCCTATCAGAAAAAGGCTACAAGCTCATCTGGATTTACCTGGCTATGTCCTCCTGTGCTTTCTTGTACTAGAGAGCGGGACATGGAGCAGCTGATGCTGTAGCAATGGAAAAAGCCACCAGCGATGTTACTGAGCCCCAAGGCTATCAGTTCCTGCAAGAGAGTTGAGAAGAGCTCAACATATGCACCCATATTTGGTCAGAAAAAAAGTTCTGAGGAGACTCCAGGGTGGCCATATGCCCATCCCTTGACTTAGGAGTATGGGAAATAGATAGTGCACAAGGCAAGCAAGGGAGAAAATAAGGTCAAGGCAAAAGAGGGAGAAAGGAAAGCCAGGAAGCCAAGAGAAAGAAAGAGTAATAAATGTCTTACCTGACTGCTGTCCACACTATAACCGTGCTTGAGTGCAAAGATTTTCCCAAGGGAGATGCAAAGGACATAGCTAACAATAGCAATGGCAAAAGCATTCCCCATTGTCTGCCCAAAGTAGCTTCCATTGGGGGCTTCAGGAGATCTCAATCTACAGTAAGGAAACAGATGCAACAAGGCAGTTCTGCTATACAGGTAGCACAAGGCAAAACAAGACAGAAACAGGTGATTTCCCAAGGCTGGGGTGGCGAGAGGAGTATTCAGAAAAAAGGAAGGGAGGTTCCATTTTGTCCCCTCAATCTGAGACCTCCGTCAGTCTTGAAACCCGTTAAGCTGGCATATTATGGCTCTGAGACCATGGATTTGGGGAAGCAGCAAGAAACACTTACCCATTGGGAATATCACCCACAACACTAATCCCAAAATTTTTGTTCAGGCTGGCACCATAGCAGATTCCCGTGGAGACAATAATCTGAAAAGAGGTGGCAGTGAGGCAAAATATATTTCTGTAATTTAATGCTGATCAAGAAGGGCACAGATAAAGGGAACTGATTAGGTTTCAATTTCTCTAATGTGATGACCTTATTCAGATTTCCCAAATTCCAGCCGGCATGAAGATCTCTAAAGGCCATTAGTTTGAGGAAGGCTGAGCTAGGTGATCCTCAGATGTATAATAAGAGTGGAGGAGAGTCAGTCACTGCAGCACTCTAACCCAGTGTTTCTCAACCTGGACAACTTTAAAATGTCTGGACTTCAACTCCCAGAAGCATGGCTGGCTGGGGAATTTTGGGAGTTGAAATCCAGACATCTTAAAGTTGCCAAGGTTGAGAAACACTGCTCTAACCTTTTCCTTTTCTGTCTCAGGAAGGGGCCTTAGCACCAGAAACATCCATGCCTACAGATAACCAAAGGATTACAGTGATCTCTCAGTTTGCAAAATCTGTCAGTTTTGCTTTGTTTTCCAATTTTTTTTCTAATTTTTTTTAATCTCAAGTTCTTTTTGAAGGCATGTATATGTTGGTAAATTGTTATCATGAAAGAAGCAACCCTAATTCTATTTTATAACAACAGCAACAACAAAATGAAAACCAGCTTTTAAGGAAAAGCCATTAGGCAACTTAACACAGAGTTACTTTTTAAAAAAGAAAATTACCTAAAATAAATGACATTATCAAATCAATTAACCATCAGTCTCTTATTTTTAGCAACAGATAGTTCAGCAAGATGGCAGCTGAGCAAAATTCTTGGCCTTTTAACTAAAATCAAGCATAGCTGAACGCTCAGGAGTTCAGACCCAGATTTTAAGAACCATGCTCTCAAAACCCTCCGTTTCAAACTTTCACTTTCTCCTGCACTTTCTTTAAAAAAATCTTCATTCCAATGAAGCCATGTGTGTTTCTTCCTATAAAACAAATTGAATAAAATTCTTATCTCTCCCTACAACAGTGGAATAGAAGGGGATGAAGCTAACTGATCCCTTCCATGGACCTCTCTTTTTTATCCCCAAGCAAAAACTCATCCAAGCCAAACATTTTCCCCAAAGAGAATCTTGAAAAGCAACTGGGAGGGCTTCTGGATCCTGGTGTGAAAGCTCATGCCCAGAGCAGACATGTAGAAAGTGAGGGCCAGGCCCACCTGTGGCTACTGAAAGCCTTGGCTGAAAGACTTCATTTTTCAACTGTAATTCTTTATGTGGCAGTTGGGGAAAATTATTAAACATATGGCTGAGGAGTAAAATATTTCTGTCTTCATTCCTCCACCCCTGAATATATGTCAAATATATGTCAATATATGCCACTCCTGAATATATGTCATGTTGCATTTGTGAAATGGGTAGCTGTATAAATCATTACAATCAAACAATCAATCAAACGAACATGTTAGACGTAACCTTTTGGGCTGGTGGCAGCCAAACTATTTTATTTTCCTTAAAAAGGTTCTTCTGGCCCCAAATAAGTATAATTCACCTTCCAATAAGTACAATGCCAATAATTTTATATAAATAAAAAGGTATCCTAAGAA